ACTATTCGCATATTCATTCAAAAACATGAAAATTCTTAATGGAGTACCCTCATTTTTTATTGAATTCCTAAAAAACAATATTTATAATGAATTTTAATAATTTTTTCGGATTTTTTTGAAGCTTTATTATGACCGATTCACCCGATTCCCGATCCGGATCGTCGATTCGCCGATCCGGATCGGTTTTTTGGGTGCCCGATCCGAGTCACCGATCCGTTTTTTAAACCATTGATTTGCCCGAATCGGCACGTCAAATGTCGATTCCCGAGTCGAACCGGGAGAGTTCGGTTCGACTCGGCATTTTTTAAATCACTGCTTAGAATAAAAGGTGATCAGAGAAGTACCCACATAAACATATCCACAAAAACCAGTCTTTATCAGTAGCCCATGAATTTGCTTACCCTGGGTTAGAGCTCTTGTCTCTGCACAACTTGATAATGCAACTGAGAAAGTTCTTTCATTGGGTCTTAAGTTCTCACTTAAGAATCTAGAAAAAAGTCTCAGAGCTTCTTCATAGTAGCCATTTCGCGAATAACCAGGTATCAAGAAATTCCGCGACACTGTGTCTCTTTGAGTCATTTTATCAAACACATTGCGTGCTGAGAATAGATCACCAGCCATGGCCAATTCTGTTACAGTTGAATTACATGAATAGATTTTTACAAAGGCTTCATCACCATTGGAACTGAGATTTTGAGGAATTATAGTGAGTTCTTGGGTCGCTGAGACAGTATATACAAGATTAGCTTTGAAAATCGACTGGAGATTGTTTTCTTTGAAAGGACTAAATCATTTAAAGATTTTTCAGAAATCGGTTGTTCTCATCATGTTTGGGTTCTTGGAATTTTATGATAATTGCAAGAAAAATAGGAGAATTTTCAGTGTTCGGGTGCGATTAATCGTGCCAAAATTTCTGGGGTTTTCAGCATATTATAGCACTAAAACTTCATTCTACATCTAGGAAATGACCATTTTAGAGCAGTTTCCAGAGACTCCCCAGCCAGGGAAGAGGTCCCTGGCTGAGTCCTCATGACTCGACTGAGTCATGCTGATGAAAATCCCTGAATAAATTGAAAAAAAAAAAAGTACTAAAAATCAAAATAAAAAAAAAATCTTTAGGAGTTTGAATGAGCTAAAAAGAATTATTAGAAAAATGGAATAGAAAGACCATATCTATAGTTGGGGATATTTTAAAACATTTTTTTAAAAAAAAATATAAAAATAGGGATTTATGGTAAAAAAAACAATCACCAATCTTTGCTAAATACATCTAAATTATGTAAGAAAAAACTTGTATAATGCAACTTAATTTTTTAAACAATTTTTGTTCATTTTTTTTAGTTATATTTTTTAAATACCCAAAATTGTCATCAGGTACTCGGCCTGGCCATATATCTCAGATCGGCCGAGTCCCGATACAGTGTTTAAGAGTTAAAAACTTACACTAAAATCAGGTGCAAGATGATTAAAAGGATCGTTATCAATTGATTAATGATTACATAGTGACAATTCTACTATGGTTTGCATGGTCAAGTGGATTAAGTATACGCATTTTATTTTAAGCCATTAGATTTCACCTCTAATGGCTAAGAATGACTATGACTTCCTTGTACCGAAACTTAATAGTTTGTACATGCCCCTTTTTTTTGCTTGGAATTTTCTTCTAGCCCATGACTATTTCTGTTTTGTAATTTCTACAGTATTAAAAATTCTTATAATTCGTCCGGTATTTTAAAAATTTTTAAGATACATGTAACATGCTTTCCGAGGCAGTTCTCAATCGAAGACATTTCAGCTAGTAGTTTCAAGGTACTCGCACAGTTAAGAAATCCAGGAAAGTCCAGGAAAGACTCGTGTTAAAAAATAAAAATAAAAATAAATAAAAGAAAATCATCGATTAAAAAACTAAAAACTACTTATTGGTTAAGGGGTATTTAGTGGACCAGTGATAAAAAACTTGGCCAAGTTCGCTTGGACTTGGCTAATAGAAACTTGGCCTCTTATCGAGCCGGGTAGTTGGAAATTCGAGGTAACTAGAAAATACAATATTATAAAAAGAAAAGTTTACGCACGACGGGTATGATGCACCTAAAAAAATTACTAGAAAAGGTTATTTTTATGCTGGAAAACCCTCAAATCGATCATCTCGGCCTCAAGATTCATTGACATGAAAATAGGGGATTTTTAGTCCAAAAAATAGTTCATCTTCTAACACATTATTTGGATCGTCCATTTTCATGATTTTCAAGTGTTTATAGATTTCTTGATTGTTACGATTTATGAAACTTTAAATTTCATAATTGGGAGAAACAATTGATTTTCATATCATCGCAAGGCTTTGCGACATTGAAATTGCATTTTCGGCATAGTTTTGAGGTGTGCCTTACTTCAATATTATCAGGTTGATACCTTATGCAAACCTCACAAAATATAAAAATATATTGAATTGTGAGTCAATGTATAAATATATTTTATTGTAAGGGAAAAGTTTATATAGAGCTGAGGCTCTAAACAATCAAATTAGAGCCAACATCAAAAATTTCACTAGAAGATGTTGTTTTGATGCCCAAATATTCTCAAATTGATCATCTCGACATCAAGATGCATGGACATGCGAAAAAAATGGATTTCAAGTTTTAAAAATAGTGTATTTTGCAACGTATGTTTGGACCGTCAATTTTCAAGATTTCATAAATCTATCAATCTGCACTATTTATTTTTGAAGCTTTAAACTTTATAAATAAAGATAAAAATATATTTGAAGGCCATCACAAAGATGTCATGTATTGGTACCACATTTTTCGACACCATTTGAAGGTAGACTCTAATTTCATTGTTTAGTTGGACTTGTTACGTGGCTTTTAGTTTATTTTTATTCTTATTTTTTATTTATTTTTAACAAATATTTTGAATTTATTTTATGTTTTTTACACTGCTCAGGCAAGCCAACCCAGACTTGCTTGAGTTGCTCACCATGGGCAAGGCCCGAGTCCGAAGCACATGACAAGTTTGTGAACATTGGATGAGATTGTGAGTAGGGTTGGCAATGGGCCAGGCGACCTGTTCCCACCCCAAAACACTAGGGCTTGAGCCACAAATGGCCCCAAGGTCGAGCCACCATGGCCCAAGAGTAGGGACGCGCCTCATCCAAGCCCAACTTGGTTCTGCCCAACCCAACCCAGCCCAGCCCTTTTTTCTTCAATTTTTTCTTTGTTTCCCTTTGATTCCATCTAGGCCTAGGCTAAGGCCTCTTTGGCCCAGTCCTGGCCTACTCCTACTGGGACCCGGGCTAGCCCAGCCCTATGCTAACCCTAAGGACTATGAGCTGTGACACCAATAATCCATTAATGTGGCATATCAACCATTCATTTCCAAACTCGATGGTTGCCATTAATAACATTTGGCATCTTCAAAATTCATTGAAGGAAAATGGTTTTATAGGGCTACAACCTTAAACCCTCATATCACAACTCGTAGAAAATTGCAATTCAAGGATTGGAAAAGCTTTACATCGATCGTTTTGGCTTCAACATTATAGTTGTGAAAAACAATTAGGATTTCAAGCTCTAAAAATAGTGTATAATGTAACAAATTATCTACGTTGTCTATTTCGCCATAAAAATCAAATGTTTCATAGTTACACAAGATTTATATCATTTTTTGAGTTTGAAAATTTATTGTTGGTGTTGGAAATTGATTTTAGAGCTGTCATAGAGATTTTGGTTGCCAAAAGTACTTTTGGGACGAGGATTTGAGGTGATGCTTTATTTTGTTTTCCTAAAACCTATGCCTTATAGAAACTTCATCCATGTTTTAGTCTACCTTTCGAGCATGTACATTATGCTCCTATAGGAGCATATTATGAGCATACTATACACCTCATTGTTAGAAAAACCGGGTGATCTAACCGCTAACCACGCAGTTAGATTGGAGTGGCTGATTCCAGTTTTAGGTGGTTTTGGTGATCAACCGGTATTTAAAAAAAAATCAAAAAATTGTAAATCAATTGTCCAAAAAAAAGGAATTTGGTTTGTAATGGCATTTTTTAATATTCTTTAAATTATGGTACAAATTAAAATGTATTTTTTTCATTAATAGTCACTTTAATTCAAAAATCGATTTGTTAAAATCTATTTTTTTTATTAATTTTTAACTTCATTTGAATGCATTTTGTTATTCGTTATATGCTTTTCATATTTGAGTAGACTTTTTTTTGTATCTTTTTTATTTTTGCAACACTTTTTTTAATCATTCGGAACTTACCCGATTAGAACGGTTGAATTGGCCAATTTATCGATTAGGCCGGTTAAACCGCTTCCGGGCGCATGTCCGGTTAACCGTTCTGGTTCGATTTTGCATACACTGATACACCTACTCCCTTTGGCAAATGGCTTGGTTGCAAATGACTTAGTTGGGAGAATTTTTCAACCTGAAATTTTGGAAACTATCTAAGAATCAATAGATGACTATTTCAAAAAAGAAAATTTGAATTTTAAGTTTTCTATCATCTCACCCTCAAAAAATCGGACAATCTCCTTTTTCATGTTGAGACATAAATATTCAGGTGCACGGAGAGTGTAATTTGGAGTTTTTTTTCCTTTTTTTAGCAGGGTATGTCTATGGGCTTACATACCCAAATCGAAGCATGAAATCTTTTGGCTTTCCCTTCTAAAACTGGGGATTATTTTTTTATCACTTATTTGGTAAATTAATTTGGGAATTAGAATCTGGAACTGGGGTTGAGATAAATAGCTTTGTAAGGATAAGGCATTACAAATCAATCTCATTTTAGTAAAGATGCAACCGCTTTCACAATTTTGAGCTCTTAAATTGTAGTTCTTGTCGAGAGTCATAGCTGCCATCCGACAAATCGACGGTCTCCGAAGAGTCCGTAAATTTGTCTATAGACAAACTTTCTTGACAATTAGAGAGGCAACAAGCCGGGCTTGGACTGGCCAGGGCCCTAGCCCTGGCCCGGCCCTTATCCAATAAGGTGGATAAGGGCCTAGCCAGGCCAGGCTGGGCAACAATCAAATGAAGACAAAAAAAAGAAAAAAGTAGGCCAGGTTGGGACAAAACAAGTTGGCACCAGCACTACCTTTTTTGGGCTGGGCCGCTGCACTGGGCAGAGACGCCCGGCCCATTGCCAGCCCTACCATTCAGAAATTTCAATTCTTCTCAATGCAAATTTTTACAATTGTTTGGCCTTTCGTGGTTTTGCATTTCTTCATGGTTTTGATTAACAAAATACTCTTTGATTAGCATATTGCCTTCAATAATAGTTACATGTTCAAAACATACTTTCATAGGTACATGCATGCTCATGCATGCATGCATCATTTCATCATCATCATCAAAAACTTTTTTCAAACGAATCGTCATCATCATCATCAAAAACTTTTTTCAAACGAATCGACTACACATGTACATGCATGTATGTGTAATCAAAGGCAACAAAATATTCAGGCATAAAATGAAAGAGCCATACTAGTCAAAATTGATTGCATATAGGGAAGGAGAAGTGTTTTTGACTCACAAACGTCCATCTTTAAGATGAACCTCCATAACTAAAGATTTCTATCCAATAGATACGAAAATATATATATATATTGTTCAAATTTTTTACTTTTTATTTATATTCATGATCATCATTGATCATGAATCTCTACAAATGCGGATCCAAGATCTATATAACGAATGGCTGTTAGAGGGAGCCTGCACAAACGTAGTACGAGTCGGGGGACTAAAAAAAGGCGGATCCTATAGGGAAAGGGGTGTGGGGTAACAAAAAACCGGATCCTATTGGGAAAGATGGCGTGGAGTTCTCTATCCGCAAAGAGAAATCCGTATTTTTTTTCTTTCACAGCGACGAGTTTGAGAAGGTAACCCATATGTCATATTAATGTGTGAAAAAATCACAAAAGAAATGAAAAGAAAAGATACAGATAGTTCGAAGTCAGAGCATGCTGAGACCCAATATTCCCATCACCTATTCTCACAAGAATATATAGAGATTGCAAATGAATAAAGATAGATCTTAAAATAGAGAACACTGAAAATTTCAAGGGGCGTCGAGCCAAAACAGAACCTAAAACACAAAAAATTGTAAAAGATCTCTTACCCCATAAGCTGTTTCTTTTCTTTTTAAATTTGTCACAAACTTCCGGTGAACAAGATAAGTAATAGGAAAATTGAAAGAGACCCTCAATCTCCACCACACAACAATGATGCATATTTGAAGGTAAGTTGAAATGATTGCCCTCCGTCAAAGAAAAAAATGGGAATTTCCATTGTCGAACCCGCTTTTTTTTAAGTAGTTCAGCAGAGAAAGGTCCTTTACCTGTGGTAGAAATGGAATCTAGATGTCCCATTGTGGCACCCGCTTTCCGGACCGCCTATACCTTTAACCCATTCGTGGTGCAACTCACTTTTCTTCCGCCTCTTCGGTCTTAGAGTCATAATGCATCTTGGAACTTTGCAATTTGGCCCACACTTTGAGCCATCTGACGCCTTGCCCTGAAGTGGTAGACTTTACCAGTGTTATGTATCTTGGTCATCATAACTTGGATCAACCTCAACACTGTGTCATATATGAAATCCTTTGCATCTGTGGATGCAAGCCTTTCCTCATCTCACCACCAAAGATAATATCCACAATTTTGATAATTTCACTTGACAAGAGAACTTGCCCTGGTTTTGAGAGAGAGAAAGAGAGCGGTCAGCATGCTGTATAATTAGTCAGAATCTGATGCAAAATTTAAATAAGAACAGTGGAATACTCACCCAGATGGAGATTACAAAAAAAAAAAAAAGATTCAATTTGTTACTAGCCTTTCTTTTAGAAGATTGATGAGCAATGAAAGGTCAAAAGGCTCATGGACAATTTCAATAAAGTCGATGTATAGGTAAATATAAGCATGGGGATAGGCTTCCCAGTAAAGTTGAAGCCTTTCTTGCTTAGCTTGCAACTAACATTGAGAAAAGAACCACAAAGATAGTGTTTTGATCTAGAACCTGAACAAACTCAGGCAACGAAATTGATGTTCAAATACTTGTGACTTTGTTCCCAAGGTTTGTAGATTTAAGGATCCAACAATTTGTTCATTGATCCATACTCGTGTCCAACAATTCTTCTCCACATATGGTCACCCCCTTTCCGTAATGGTTATACCACTTTGTTTCCAGTTGCTATATTAACATCATGAGCCTCCTTATGTCGAGCCCTGCCCTTGGCCAACTTACCGACACCTACCTTAACATATGAAAATTATGCTTGAAGGAGAACCTTCTCCATAGGAATTTTCTTTGCAATCTTTCAACCTTATGAACAACTGCAACGGGCATCTTAAGTAGTGATATAGAATAGACCAGCAAGTTTAAGTGAGTGGTCTTTATCAATGTAATACGACCTCCAAGCGATTGGAGATTACTTTTCCATGTATATAGGATTGTTCTATCGTAGTGTCGCACACCTGACGAAGATCAACAAAATATCTACTAGTTGTTCATTAGATTCACAGAAGATCAAGATGTTAACAAAATAATGTAGATGGAATATCACCAGCCCGCCTGCCCCTGCAAGAAAGCCCCACAGGATTCCACATCCGTGGACCCTCTCGATCTTCTGACTGAGCATTTGCTATAAAATGACAGAGGAAGAGTGATAATGAATCCACTTGCCTTATAGCTTTAATTCTAGGAAAAAAAATCCACATGAGTTTCCACCGAGTATAATTAAGAATGAAACTAAGGCAATGCAGCCTGAATCCACCCTTGCCATTTCTCTCCAAAGCCAATCATCTCTTTAATTTTGTCAAGATGTTTCATTGCACATTATCATAAGCCTTCTAGAGATCAAGCTTACAAATTAGCTCGATTTCTTTGCCCTGTGACTCGCATTAACGAATTCATTCGAAAATCATCAATCTATAGCATCTTTGATTGAGATACATTTAAGATAGGAATATAATGTCAGTTACGACCTCTCTCAGCCATGTTGTTAAAATCTTTGCATTGATTTTCCCCTTTACATCTCATGCTCAAGCCAAACTTTAGGGTAATGAAGCTGGCATTTGCACCCAGTTGGATGATAGAATTTTCATGAAACTCATTGACCATAGCCATGATTTAGTCACTTACCAAGTCTCGGGTCCTAAAGGTGCCATGGTGAGTCCCTCTGGACCGGGAATACCATATTTGAATCATTTTCAGTCAAATTATGGAAGCTCCTCATCAACACCCACTTAGACACCAAGGCTACAATCCCAAGAAGTAAGATAGAGAAAAAGATATGCGTGCCTCACTGAATCGCTATGGACGAATACCCCCAAGGGAAGCAGGGGAAAGGTAAACATTCATCAATAATAAACCACAATTATCTTCCACCAAGAATCATAAAGTGTTCATACCTAAAAGAACAAAACAATCCAGACTCCCCCAAATTGCATCGCACTACCTTTAGGTCAAATCAGGCATGTGCCCTGCATTTCTCAGCTGCCAAACCAAAAGCTCCAACACAGAATAAACCTCCTCAGCTCTCCCATTCATCACCCCATCAGCTGAGTAAAACTCCACAACCTCCCCATCCATCTCTATCCAACTACAACCAGATGTCTTCTCCATGGGGCCATCTCTTGCCAACCTCCCCACCTCCTCCCACTTCCCCTTCTCCCCATAGAAGTTTGCTAGTTGCACCATATATGAGCCATTACCTGGGTCGAGCTCCACAGTCGATGGACTGCACTCTCAGCTAATCCCACATTACCATGCATTCTACATGCGTTTAAGAGCGTGCCCCATATCACATCGTCGGGTTCTTGCTTCATCCCTTCAATCACCTCTATCGCCTCCTCGAGACAACCTGCTCGACCCAAGAGATCGACTACGCACCCATAGTGCCCAATTCGAGGCTCTAAGCCATAGTCCTTTTTCATTGAGAGAAAGTAAGAGCAGCCCTCATCGATGAGGCCACCATGTGTGCAAGCATTTAAAACTCCAACAACTGTCACCTCGTCGGGCCTCACTTTCTCTACCTGCGTCTTATTGAAGATTTCAATAGCCTCACGTGTGTGCCCATGCAGTGCAAGGCCATTAGTCATGGAGTTCCAAGCTGTGATGCTACGCTCTCGCATTCGATCGAAGAATTTGCATGCCTCTTTCAAGCAGCCACACTTTGCATACATATCGATAAGTGCGTTACCGACAAAGGGGGAGGCCCCAGAGCCACACTTGTATGCATGAGCGTGAAGCGGACCACCGACCCCCAGTGTGCCGAGATGTGCACAAGCTGAAAGCACGCACACTAGAGTCATATGATTTGGCTGGTGGCTCTCTGCAAGCATACGGTTGAAAAGAGACAATGCCTCAACGAACAGACCATTTTGCGCACACCCTGCTATTGCCGCATTCCATGCGGGTACATCTCGCTCTCTCATCTCCTCAAAAAGAACAAATGCGTCGCCCATCTTTCCAAATTTCGCAAAACCAGTCAACAATGCAGTGAAGGACGCCACATTTGGCTCATGCATCTCCCCAAGAGCACGGCGTGCTGCCTCGAGGACTCCACACTTTGCATAAGCATCGACGAGGGCAGTCCTCACAACGGCCCATGCGCCAAAGCCGGACTTGGCAATGTGGGCATGGGTCTGTGCAGTCTCCAGAAGCGCGAAGATTTGCGCAGAGGCCTTGAGGATGTAGGGGAAGGTGAATTGGTTGGGGGCAACAGAATTGAAGTGCATTTGCTTGTAGAGATAGAGAGCAGTTTTGCAGGCAGGTGGCCCTTTGCTGAACGTAGGCGGTGATGATGGCGGTCCAGTGGTAGACACTGGGGGCGGGCTTGTGGTCGAAAATGAGGCGAGCGTGGTCGATGTGGGCGCCGCCCAAAGTGGTGGTGCAAAAACGGAGGAGTTTGAAAGAGAGGAGGGGAAGGTGGGCTTGGCCAAGGGTAATGAGAAAGGCATGGAGTTGGTTGAGGTGAGAGAGGTGGGTGCACTCTCTAGTAAAGCTGAGACATGGTGGCTTAGCTCTCCAGCTTGGGAGAAGAGGCTCATGAGGCTCTCCCACTTTGAATCTACTCAACTTGCCCCAAGTTTCTTAATCTTTCTTGAATCATCATCATCTTCTAAAATATCTGATACTGTAATCTCAACGGGTATCAATGCAAAAGAGACTTGGATTATATATTCAAAATTGAAGCTGAAAAGCGTCCTGGCATAAAATTGAAGTAAACAATTTTTTATCTGGAACTCAAAATACAAGAATCAGACTGCCATTTCTGTGAGACTGCTGAAAGTAAACAATGTTCTTCAATTTTCTGCTACTTTTGCACTCTTTGCTCCATGGGCTGATTACTAAGAATGTAGTATGTTGTCAAACCGGCCGAACAGGACTGGCTTTAGAAATTAAATGATTCCTAAGAATGCTAAAATAAAGAAAAATTCAAAAATATAGAAAATCGTGCAAAACCAGTTTCCACAATAATTTTTGGGAATAAAAAAGAAAAAGAGAGAAAATCATTAGATAATTCAAAAAAAAGAATTTTATTTTCTGTTACGTTTTTACTGGTATACTCTTTTCTTTTTTTTTCATCTGTCTAATTTTTTTTTTTTATCATGAAGAGAGATTAATATCCAAATGCCCAATAAACCCGTCAGGCACATTTATCCATCCAAAGCTCATAAAGGTTTTTCTCTCCTTTGTGCTAAAATGATATTTGTCAGTACCCCGCTCCCTACCGTCTTTGTTGGATCCACATAGGTCTAAGCTTGAGTCCGGCGGGGGCGGTAGGGAGCCCGGTCGTGACTTGATCCCTCAAACTGCCACGTGACTATCCCATCAGCCGTTAGCTTGATAAGAGAGATCTTCTACAAAAACAAATTGCACAAAAAAAAATTTCATTTTTGATTTTCAGATTTACCTATTCAGGGATTTTTACAAATTTCAGTGGTAAAAGCCTTACAATTAAAACCATATATATGTAAAATAAATAAATAAAAATCAAATAATAGGCTTTTATTTGTTTTTATATTATTGAGCAATATTTTGAGGGGCTTTTACAAATGGCAAAATCCCTTCAAAGTAACCCAAAAAAATGCAATCACAAATTCGAAAACACATTCTAAAATATACAATCTCCAACTTCGTAATCACATTCAGGCAGATACCTACATTTTCATTTAGTTTTAAATCTTCTACAATAAACTAATAAATAAATATTGAAGTACATAAAAAAAAACCAAACAAAACAAAACCTTACCTGTTCTAGTAGCTTCGCCGGAAATCTGCTGGAAACAGGCTAGAAATAGCTTCGATGAGGGAGGCTCGTTTTGAACGTGTCGAATGCCAAAAGCCTTCGTCTGAAAGTAAAAAGTTCAAGGGAGCATAACATTTTTGTTTCCTTCTTTTGTCCTTTAATATAACCAAGCCTTTAAACAATCAAAGTAAAGCACCTTTAAATAATGTCGAAAAATGTGGTTTCGATATTGGAAATCTTTATGATCGCCTTAAAATATATTTTCATCTCTAATTATAAAATTTAAAGCTTAAAAAATAATGTAGATCGAGGAGATCCATAAACACTTGAAAATCTTAAAAATTGATGATCCAAAATGCATTACAAGATGCACTATTTCCAAAACTTGAAATCCAATTTTTTCTCATATCCATGCACCATGATGTCGAGATGATCAATTTGAAGATATTTGGACATCAAAACAACCTCGTGAAATTTTTGAGGTGGGCTAAAATTTATATACTTCTATTCCTCCAGCAGATGAACTTCTTAGGAGGATTTATCCAATCTGAAATTTTGGTGACCACCTTAGAATCATTTGATGATTATTCTAAAAAAAACATTTGAAATTTGAGTTTTCTAACACATAGATTTTATCCTCTAAAAATTAGACAGTTTCTATTCAATCTTGAATTTTATTTATTTTTCAAGTGCTTAGAGGGTGCAATTATGAAAATTTTATTGAGGTTAATATATGTATTGAATAGATTATATCCCCAAAATTTGGAGCCTTAAAACTAAACTTAGGTGGGGTTTTACTTGCAGGAGTAAAAGGATCTTGTAGGTTTCTCTTTCTATTTTTTTTTAAAAAACGGGGCAGAAAACTTCTTTTCTTCCCCACATTTGGATGGTCTGGTTCAATAATGAACCGGGGAACTACCAATCCAACATGGATTTGGCAGTTCATTGGTTCATGGCCGATTCAATATGAAATCCCGTTCTTGCACTAGATTGGACCAAAAAAATTGTCGGTTCCACAATATCTAGTTCGAACTGATTGGCCCCATCCAGTTCTTACAACATTATGTACCAATGCTTGAAATCCCATATGAGCGAGACAAATCAACCAATTCAAAAAACCGGTCCAGATTGGTGGATCGGCCATTTGAATCGGTGGATAGGATGGAATGATCTGATCCAACCTTAAAAATTTCAAAAAATTATTAAATATTGTTTGTTTCTAAACAAATGAGGTAGTGGATTATGGGCTTTCATTATTTTGTAAAAATACGTGAATATTGAGATTTTATTTTCTATTTGAGTATCTATTAATGTTGATTTTTCATAATAATTTTGCTAAAATATTTTCACAAAAAAATTGATACTAATTTTGCGATTTTTAGTGCAAAAATTAGGGATAAATATTAAGAATGGATGGATTTTATATACAAATTGAGCGATTCAATGAACTTAGGTCAGTCCCCGACTAGTCGCGAGCCCACTCCGGCCACCCAGAATCAGCCCAATGACTTTTTTAAACACGGTCCAAATAGAAAATGATACGATTTTGGTGAGTCACCTATTACCATGCGATCCTTGTCTATCTAGTGTCCATCTCTAAGATGGATGTCAGAAAATGTTACCCTTGTCTATCTAGTGTCCATCTCTAAGATGGATGTCAGAAAATGTTACATCCATTAAAAGTTAAAATGGATAGTGAAGAAACAGAAAATGTTACATCCATTAAAAGTTAAAATGGATAGTGAAGAAAGGAATTAAAAAAATAACATTTATATTTTTTCAGAAGGAAAAATTCTAATTTTAGATCATTGCCATGGTTGAGATTATTGAACTCTAGCTGTATTTGGCCTAGTGAAGCCCAGCCCAACCTTGATAAGGCCAGGGCCTCTTAGCTAAAGCCTGGCCGGACTCAAAGAGACCTTATGGGGACTAAGGCCGGCCTAGAGCCAATATTAGCCCAGCCCGAATCCAGCCTATTGCTTGCCATAGCGGGCCTGTCCCATTTCAAGCACAAATTCTAAGAGAGGGAAACAGGCAATCTCTTGCACCGAGGGAGAGAGGGAACGAGAGCATCATAGCATGTGACATTTTTTATAGAAAGGGCATTATTTTGCCATATTAGACCTTGGCCATTGTATTAAAATAAAGGCAATAAGTAAAATGGACCTCAAATATCCACTCGGAAAAGTTGCCCTGGTGTCAATAACTCTACAATTGATTGCCTTTGTCTCAAGATGTATAGATATGAACAAAAAAGAATTTAGGTTTAAAAATAGTGCATCATGTAAGACATTATTTAAAACATTTATTTTAACAAAAATTAATTCTTTATAGATTTACTCAATCTACACCATTTTGAAGTTTTAAATTTCAAAATTAGGGGTCAGCATAGATTTAAGAAAATCTCAAAGTTTTTCGGATTAAGAACTATATTTTTTTAATGAGATTTAGAGTTGTGCCTTACTTTGATCATTTAAAATTGACAGCTTATACAAAAGGCACCATTCCATGAAGAAATGTACACAATGAAACCATTTGCTTTTGATGCAAATAGGTCACAATCATTATTGATAGTAGGATGTAAAATCGGGTAGTTGAGAATGTGTCATTGATTAGATACAAAGTCCAAAATAAATTTTCTCGAATATAGTGACACAGCTTATTCTATTGAATTTTATATCCAATAGCTCAAAATAATTACGACTTCCCTATACCAAAAGTAAATAATTTAATAGCATACAACCCTTAATTACTATTTCATAAGAGGACAATTTTAGGCACTCCATTGTTGGGAGAAAGTTTTCATGGCAACTAAGAAATGTGTTGCATATTAAGCTATTGAATAGGGCATCTCATAAAAAAATACTCATTATTATTTTTTTGGGTAAATATGTGAGACCCAGTTTTCATTAATAAAAAGATCTAAAAAGTTACATCGTACTATTTTACAACTCTACAATAGGGTAATTGTGTCACATCATGATAGATATAGAACTTCAAATGGTGGCATCCGCAAAAATTGTAGCCTTTTTGACAAAAATATCAGTTATCAAATTAGCCTCACAATAAACATAATAAATAGACCATAAATGATTTAATATATTCAGATTAAATGAACCATGAACATCGGCCGCCATAAAAAAATACCCATTAGGGATGAAGTATTTAATATATTTATATTTGCAACTAGTTTAATTCACATAGCATGTGGTTCTCCAAAATAAATGAAATAACACAAACAAAGTATTAAATTCTTAGTCTGTCATAAATAATTTGAAAAATTTCCCTTCTCCAGTTTTGGAAATTTTGTTTTCTCAAGGAGTATATCCCATTTTATTCCTTGGACAGAGATGCGAGGGTGTCATTGTGACATGAAATATGAGCACAAAAATATATTTTATGACCATGGAAATTTAGTTACTTGGTAAAATGCTGGCCCAATAACAGGATAGTGTTAAATGATGGGTCCACGCAACTTATCGCATCAAACTTTTTGGCTCTTTGTGGGTGGAATCAATCACTATTAATGAGCAGCTAAAAAATAGACTATGTTCACAATAAAAAAATGAAAATCGTGTTATACATGATTTTAAAAGGTTTTAAATGCAAGGCAAATTTCATTATTAAGAGCATGTTTGAACCTAACTTTCATAGAAGTGACAAACAATTGTAATAAATAGTATTTAAGGTAACTAGGGAACAAGACCATCATTTTCTTACGAGGCAAAAGAAACTTCTAGTCCCATAAAATTAGGAATTTATACTACTCGCACAAGAGAGAGATATATATCTATGGGTACGGTTTGTATAGAGCCTAGACTCTAAGCAATCAAATTAGAGCCTACCTTCAAATAATATTGAGAAATATGGTTTTAATATTGAAAATCTTTGTGATAGCTTTAAAATATTTTTTTATATTTATTTATAACGTTTAAAGCTTCAAAAATAGTATAGATCGACAGATCTATGAAAACTTGAAAATCTTGAAAATTGATAGTCTAAAAATGTGTTACAAAATACA